TGCAGCAGGAGCCTCCCTACCTCTCCCGTGGCCAGGGGGTGAGCTGCTGGTGGGCTGAGCAGCCCCTGAGCTGCAGGGGGCCCAAGTCCTTCCCTTCCCAGGACCAGTGCCCCCTGGGGCTGCCCAGGTGAGCTGCTAATGGGCCAGGGGCTGCCCCAGCTCAGAGGCAGCACCTGCCAGATCCAGCTCATCCCCAAGCCCACTGGGGCTTCCAGCACCCTGTGACCTGTCCCTGCTGTCTTCCTACTGCCTGGGACTGCCTGGGAATGTGCTGGCTTGCCCCTGGGGCATTACAGAGAAGCAGCAGGAGGGCAGCTGAGTGTGCTGGTGGCAGGAATGGTGCATGGTGCACTGGAAGGCCACCAAACCCGAGCTTCCCCAAGCCTGCCTGGGCTTCCAACATGCTGTGCACTGTCCCTGCCACCTTTTCCGACTACCAGCACACCCAGCCACCCTCCTGCTCCTTCCCCATGCTGCCCCGGGGGCAAGGCAGCCCATTCCCAGGTGGTTCCCGGTGGCAGGGACAGTGCATGGGGCACTGGAACCCCCGGTGGGCTTGGGGATGAGTTGGATCTGGTGGGTGCTGCCTCTGAGCTGGGCAGTCCCTGGCCCACTAGCAGCTTGCCTGGGTGTCCCCAGGAGGCACTACCACCATGCAGGAAGGAGCAGCCCCCCCCCCCCCCCCTATCCAGCTACAGGAGGGGCAGGCAGGCTCTGCCAAAAAAAAAAAAAAAGGATCAAACCCCTCACTGCTTCTGTCTTCAGCAGGTGCCTGAAGCCTACTTCCCCAAGCCCACCCATTTGAAGCCTGCTGGGCATTGCTCCCTGGGCAGTACTGGGGAAGATTTGGATCAGGCCATGTGCTACCTCTGAGCTGGGGCAGATCTGCCCTGCTAGCAGCCTGCCCAGGCAGCCCTAGTGGGGTGCAAGGACCAGGGCAACCTGCAGCCCCCCAGCCATGGGTAGGCTCTGACTAACCAAAAAAAAAAAAAAAAAAGGATCAGGCTCCTCACCATAATGTGATGAAAACATTTAAATGGCAGGTTTCAATTAAAAATCCACTGTTTCAGTTTAGGGGTCATAAAATAAAACCTTGGGGATTAAACCCTTGTCACGTGTACAAGTGCCCATAGAGTTCATCTTGTGAATGTCTCTTTGTCAGCCCTTCTAGCTAGGAGGGACTGTGTGTGTGAAATAAGTTCCATAGTTTGGAAAAGCTTATTTAGTAGACTTTAGAGAGATGCCTTATCTTAAAAATTCCTAATAAATGGAAACTTTTGTTCTCTCATCTGCACTGTCTCCCTCCTGATTTAGAGGTGCAGATAAGTTCTCTACATCCATTTTCAGTGGTTTGCTGCACCTTTAGAACAGAAACAATGCTACTCTTCATTTTTTTATTCTAGCGTCCTTCCCTTGTCTGTTCACAAGCACTACTGATTCACTTTTATTCCCTGGACTGACTTGCCAAGAAACCTCTGGATAGCTTTCATAACACTAAGTGTAATCATAATCATGAAGGTGTGCACCTTTGCCTCTCAAACAAGAAAGCACATAGCAAACTTAACAAATTGTCAGAGAGCAGTTCTCAAACATTTTAGACTCAAGGCACCCCTTGCTTGCTTGTGGTCCCCTTCATAACTTTTGTGAATTAAGGAGTGCCCTATTTAAAAAACTAATTGATTTAATTACAGTGCTTACCTCCTTGCAGAGAGGCCATGGCCTTACCTGCCACACTTATCTCCCCTCACCTCAGGGTACCCTTCAAAAGATCTTGCAGCACCCCTGGTTGCTCCCACAACCTGGTTGCAAATCACTGCTTTAGAGCTCTCCAAGGATGCTCCCCTCCAACCCCATCCCTCTCCCCAACCATTTTCAATCTGGATATACTGTGTTAAAGAAAGATTAACTCAACAAGATGATTCATAGCTTAGTCGCACTGCTGCTCAGTTGCAGATCCCAAGCAGGTTCCCTTCTGACTTGCAGTTTAAAAATCTTCCTAGATGGCATTTTCTTATCTTCATAGTTGCTATTCTTCTGTAATCTCAGAGCCCTCTGCAACACCTCTCTCTTTCTCTTCACAGATAGGGACAAATCCTTCTTAAGAAAAGTGTCCCGTCCATTGCCCAACCCCAGAGAGCCACCCTCTGGTCCAGCCCCTGGAAAGGGGTTCCATTCCTCTAAGGTGATGGAGTGCATCCAAAATCACATGCAGCAAAGCAGTCAGCCCTTCCTAAGATAAGACCTTCACTGGTCCACAGCTATACGACAGACAGACTCCCTACACCCTAAATCCCAAGCAGTTTGTAAGAAAAAACAGGCCCTACGTGTTCTATCTCAACCTCACAGGCTCCTATCCCGTGCCTCCATCTCCCTGTCTCTGTCCCCTTTGTTTCTGGGGGCCTTCTTTCTTGTGGTCTCTTCATATTGTCATCTCAAGTGCCTCCCTAGCACCAAAAATGATAGGAGTCTCTACAGGTGCTGGTAGGAGTTCCCAAGCCCCTCTCCCCTCACCTCCCTGGCACAGCATTTATGTATTCGTATGGAATTCAGCAACCAAATACAGAACAAACTTTAAACAACGGCACTGAAGGATAAGGCTAGAGTGACAGTTTTAGGTTTGATATCCATGCTGCACCATGAGCTTGCTGTAGACTTACCCAGAGAAGCCACAATATTGCTTTTTAAGCTTGCATACAAACACCCCCTTCCAGTAAACTGATTTGAGAATGTATTTTGCTTCAGAAGCTCAGATCCTTGCTTTAGAGTGTGTAGCCATTTTAGGTTGATGCTATGACCTTCCTCGTCCCCGTCTGTAAAGGATGTGTCAAATAAATATTGAGACTGGTAGATATTTAAGGCAAGAGATTTTTGACCCTCCCTTTCCTAATTATTAGAATTAATAGAATAGAATTATTTGACTCTCTTTAAAGTACATGCCTTAATCCTCTTCTTTTAGATCTTGGACACACACCATTCTCACCATCAGTTTGTTATAATTCAGTGCACCCTTACAACTGGCAAATCTATGAAGAGCTCTGTGTACCTAACAAATGTAGCAATAAGCTCTTTAAAAATATGAGTCACATCTTTCTTTCATGCACACACAACTACTACTGAAATGCACAGAAGTTCTGAGCATGGCCTTTAGGGCAGAATCATGTATTTTTGGATAAGTTCTCTAAGAACTTATCGTCTTGAACCACTTTGGTGCTTTTTCTATAATTGTGCTTTTAAATAGCTGTTCAGAATCAAGGCCTGATTAAAATCAATAGCAATGATTCTATACACGTGTGTGCTGCTGCTTCATGGCAGAGAGAATAGAATTGAAGAAAATTTTCAAAAATGAACATTTAAATGAAATACATATATAGGAATATTTTTCTTTTGTATGTTAGTGTTCTTGATAACAAGGATAGTATAAAGCAGGCAGAGCATTACTCCTAAGTGCTGCTCAACCTTTTTGGCTGGTGGGCTGGATGAGCAGTG